TGTATGTGTATAAAGTATTAATTTACCTATGTAAGTAAGTCAAATGATCTTATGAATTTATGCTTGTGTGTGTGTGAAATATGTATATGTAAACAAACAAATCATGTATAAATCAGCTTCACACATACTTACTTTTTTACAATTATATTTTAAAAATCATTTTGAATGGAAATGAATTCTGAGATATAAATGCACACTCACTATATATATATATATATATATATATATATACACACACACACACATGCATATATCTCCTACATATACTTTTATATGTGTGTGTGTGTGTGTGTGTGTAAAAATTAGATGAAGCAGTTTAATCTGTTGCTAAAGTGTTTAAAACCATTTTTATATTCAATAGAGCACTATTTGGATGTTTTTTGTTTGTACAGAGTACGTTTTATTATGGTAAACATCATATTAATGAGTCCTCATATTTAAGTGGACATCCCAGTTTATTTATAAACAGTAAAATTAAAATCTACCAGCCCGGATCATCCAGTGGCTTATTAAAGAAAATAAAAATGGAACTCTGTAATAAGACTTTAAGAATCTAGGGTGGTAGACATTAATTTCACCGTCTTTGAAAATAAACTGGAAGGTCTACTCAAAGACATATACTCACTAAAATAATATTTATAGTAATAAGTAATATTGTTTGATTTAAAAAGAAAAAAATTAATTGCTTAAAAAAATCAAAACTGAACTATAATTTTTTAAAACTCTGGCCATTAAAAGGCTGGATTCAGAATGAGTGGGTGTGCTGTAAAATATCTTAATTGCTCAAAGTACATTTTAAACTTCAATATCTTCCATCATGGAACATTTGTATGGAGAATGTTCTCATAAGGTTGTGTTTAGAGGTAATTGTTTTTTTTTTCCTGTTGGTGCTGTAGAACTGGACTATGTGTCAAAGACTAGGATATATAACATTCTTACACTAATGGGGCTTTTTTTCTAGAACAAAATCTATTTCTATGTTTTATTATAATAATGATTTGATTTCCTTGCAAAACTAACAGATATTTGTAGCACAATTCTCTTAAAATGGTCTAAATTAATTTCCAGTTCAACTGGGCCATCAGTTTCCAAGTAATTTTTAATTATGGATAGATAGAATGTGTGTGTGTGTGTGTGTGTGTGTGTGTGTGTGAGAGAGAGAAGAGAGAAAAATCAAAATTACAGAGTTGTTTCCCTTGTTTTTATAAAATGATAAAAATTATGGAGGAAGTTCTTTTAAGAGTAAATAATTTGCATATAGTTATATAAACTCAATAATTTGGAAGCGACTTGATGTTAAGTGGAGACTGCCAAAGGTGGCATTTAAAGAATTAATCCCAAGTCTCCTGTTAATTTAGGGGCAAATACTATAGTTCTCGAACATTCACACTATGCCTAACAACAACCTATTATTCGGCTATTAATAGTGTCTTCAATTATTGCATTTTTTTTTCTCTCCTTCAGATTCCACTGATCTAAATTATCTAACCCTTCAAAAATATTTCAACAGCAATCTTTTTTTTAGAAAATTTTCAAAGTCTTTTTATGCCAGATAATGGCACAAGGTTAAAAAAAAAAAATTGTCAACGGTAGGGAGATTGCCCATTTTGAAAGCCAATAATCAAAATTTACATTGTATCTGGTTATAAACATTCTGGTACTGAAAACATTTTTTTATAACTCAAAGAGTATTCTGAAGTTCAATGTTTGGAGTATCTACAGGTGTCTTTGTTGTGGATTTGAATTACCTCACAACTTTTTATAAAATATGCACAAAAACTTAATAATGATTCTTGTGTAGAATTTTAAAATCATTCATGTTATATTGCATTTGCCACAAATGATAAATTCACTTGCATAAAGCAAAAGAAGCAGATGAATTAATCATAAGACAAGAAGGCAAACCATTTTTTGTTAATTTTTTTTCTTGACTTTTTTGCTTTATTTATTCTTAGCTACATTTTTTTTATTTCTGTTCAGTAAAATATAATTATTATTTTTTAATAATAATGATTTATTTTCTAATCATTACTTCAATAAGATGTTTAGAAATAATAGCAAGTGTAGAAAATTAAGGCTTTATGTATTGGATTTTGAACATTGGAAATTTTATTCGAAGACAAAATTGGGCTAAAATCATGCAAACAAAAACTCAGGATGATTTGTTGAATTGACTTAAGGTTATATATTTTGCATTAAAATTTTGTCACAAAAATTTCAGAAAAATGAATAAAAAATTACTAAAAATCAAAAATGTAGATGCAATGACTAGAAAAGTTTTCCACATGATGCAGAAACATAGTTTATATCATTCTTGTTACCACAAAGACAAGATAAAAATCTTATTATTATTATTAATAATAATGATGATGAATAACATTAAGAAGACTAATGAGCAGCACCATATCTTCAGCAGCTCCTCGTAGTGAAGCATCTCTGATATTTATTTTTCTATTCAAGATTAGTTTGAACTATTGATCAAAATCTTTTTGTTATCATTTCAGCAGTTCCATTCTACATCCTTCTTTATATGTATGACACTATCAGTGGACATTAAGAAGAAAAAACAACAAACAAACAAAAAAAAAACAGTATTTCTTGTTCCAATCTGGGTTGTATCTCTGAAGAAAGCTTTAGAATAGAACAGCCAAAACCTTGTGATAACAATCAAAGAAATAAAAAGAATAAAATGAAAAGTCCAAAAATTCTTTGTATGATAACTCATCTCACAATCAAGGAATGTACATTGCTAAATTAACTGAATTTGTATTATTAATAATAAAAGCAAATATTATTAATTTATTATGATTATCCTATAACATATTTTATTGAATAGAGTATCTTATTAGTAAAAGTGTATTTATTTGTAAAAATCTTTAAGTATTTTTAGCAGTAATTTGAAATGATCTGAATTCTTTATATGTTGTTGTCTAAATGTCAATAATTTCAAATTCTAAGCCCTATTTTGATCGCCATTAAAATTAAAAATGATAATTCATATAAAAATAAATATCGACAACTTCAGGAAATGTCAAATTATTTATGGGCCAGTTGTAAAAAAAAAATGTCAATTGGGAAGATAGTTTAATATGTGTGTCAAAAAAAAAAAAAAAAATAAATAAATAAAAAAAAAAAAAAAAAATAAAAAAATAATCATCATTCTGATGTATTAGCCATCTTTTGGGGCACAACCAACCCAGAGACAAGTAAAAGCCAGAAACAAATACCTAAAATATATATATATAAGAAAAAAAGAATAAAATAAATAAAATCAACAGTTTTTACCAGAGAAAATGGGAGTTGCTGAAATAATAACAAATATAAATACTAAAAGCCATAAAATTATTCTGAGACCCCTACAAAAAAGAAGAAAAAGAAAGAAAAAAGAAGAAGAAAAAGAAAGAAAAAAGAAGAAGAAAAAGAAAGAAAAAAGAAGAAGAAAAAGAAAGAAAAAGAAGAAGAAAAAGAAAGAAAAAGAAGAAGAAAAGAAAGAAAAAGAAGAAGAAAAAAGAAAGAAAAAGAAGAAGAAAAAGAAAGAAAAAGAAGAAGAAAAAGAAAGAAAAAGAAGAAGAAAAGAAAAAAAAAAAGAAAAAGAAAGAAAAAAGAAGAAGAAAAAGAAAGAAAAAAGAAGAAGAAAAAGAAAGAAAAAAGAAGAAGAAAAAGAAAGAAAAAAGAAGAAGAAAAAGAAAGAAAAAAGAAGAAGAAAAAGAAAGAAAAAAGAAGAAGAAAAAACAGAAATTTATCAAGCAGGAAAGCAGGAGTTATAGTAGAGGTTTAATTAAGCTAAATGATTTTTTTACCTGTGGAAAATGTATTTTTCTGATGTACTTTATTCCGCTCTTTACTAAAATGACATCGGGAGTGGGGAGACTTTGTTTATTTTCAAGTAAACCCAAGTTTTAAAAGACAAGCAAGCAGAGTTGCTCTAAAATAAGAGCCTGATTTACAATATAAGAATAATGTCAAACTGGACCCGGACTTCATTTGCATTTGTGCTTTTCATTACAAAAATAAAAATGCAATAATTATAATTAAAACTGAAAAAAATATAAAATCTATTATTAGCAAATAATATTTTTAACTTTTTCATTTGTATTCTTTGATGTATTATGATTTTTAATGAATTAAATTACTTTAGGAAAGGATTTATTAAAAAAAAAAAAGTAAAAACAAAATCCAGCCAAAACTAACCAAATTTTTATATAGCAAATTCAGTTTGTTCCTTTTTTTACAACAGAACACATTCTTGTTGCTATCTCAACTGTTGCTGCATAAAGATGACCCAAAATGCATTTTTTAACAGTATTTTGTGATTCCTGACACTATAATCTGTCCCATCTGTGGAATGACTTATGACTTTTTTCTGTATCAACTATCATAAAACAGGTTTGAAGTGGACATAAAGTCAGGGTCCAGTTTAACAGTAACTTTGTAAATTAAACATTTTATCCCATAATATTGGACACAGATCAGAGTCCAGTTTGAGATCGTAAGTGTATTGAAAACAGAACCTCTACTTTAAAACTTCTTTCCTTGCTTCCACAAACTCTCACTTTCCTCAAGTGAACAATGTCCAAAGAAAAAAAGGTAAATGAGAGAGCAGAAAAGACCGGTTCAGAAAAATACATTTTTACAGGAGAAAAAAAAAAGAAAAATTTAGTTTAATTGAATCTTTATCAAAGATATAAATAAAATGGCTACTCCTTTTATATAAAAAGAAACAAATAAATATTTTTAAAAAAAAGTTTAAATTGATATTTTTAAGCAGCCAATATTTGCAGTCTCCATCCTATTAAAAGAACATTAATTGACAACAACATTACTTGGTGCCCGTCAGTGGAACAGCCTGCAAATGATGTGATTGGTGGAGATGTTGGTCAGGTGGGCGATCAGATGAACCAATCAACAAGGAGGACAGCCTCCAGGGTGTCTGCTGCAAGAGAGACACCACTGCAAGCCACTTGTCATGTCTCTCACCCGCACTTTAGGGTGACCCTTCCTCATAAAATGGTGCACCTTGTTCGCTTCCCTTTCCTTTTACGAACACGATTAAAGTCTTGTGGCTGCTCTCTGGAAAAAAGAAAAAAATGGATATAATGATGAGGATTTTGTTTTTGTAATGTCATATATTTAGTAATAGGTATGATCAAAGGAAACAAATGTCATGATAAAGTAAGGACATGTTGCAAATCACTGACCAACAAAGGACACATCACCAAGTGCTAATGATCAGAGAATATATATATATATATATATATATATATATATATATATGTGTGTGTGTGTGTATGCAAGTTATTCATTATGAAATAGACAATTATTTTAGGACATTTTTATGTTTATAGATTTTTTTTATAGATAAAAAAATTTAAGTGAATGCTCTGTTTATAATAAACAGTGTTAAACAACATTTATCAGCCTGAATGCCCAAGAAATTTTCACATAAAATATTTGTCCTCCAACAGAATTCAAACGTTTGGTTAACAAGGTCTGTGATAATTTCTGACATTCAGGCTGGTAGATGTTGTTTAATACTGTTTATTATAAACAGAGCATTTACTTAAATATTTGTTATCTATAAAAAGAATGTATAAACATAAAAATGTCTTAAAATAATTGTCGGACTTTGTCCATTTCATGTGTGATGTCATTTGTTTATATTTGATACGACATGAGCAGATATGAATGTACATGAGAGATTCATAGAAGATTGCTAACCAAATGCACCTCTGTGGCCAAATCGGTAAAGGCACGTCAAGCTAAATCATGGTTCCGTATAGGATACACGTTCGAATCCTGTCGGAGGATGAATATTTTCTGTGAAAATTTCTTGGACATTCAGTCCGGTAAATGTTGTTTAATACTGTTTATTATAAGCAGAGCATTTGCTTAAATATTTGTATCTATAAAAAGAATGTATAAACATAAAAAATGTCTTAATATAAGTTATTATATCCTGTCAGAACATCCACATTTTTTAAAAACAATCAGAAGAAGAAACTTAACCTTCCAGGACCAGCGACTGTTGTAAAATTGTTTCAGTATATTGTCACGTAGCAACGATTTCATTAACCATATAGGCGTTAGGCTAAAGTAAAATCTTAAATAAAGAGAAAAATTAGTTAGATATAAAAGAAAGATAAATAAATAGATAAAACAGAAATTTAATCCAATGCTTCCGATTCATGAGCTAATATATTCTATGATCAGCCATACCCACCTCTTCTCTTCACAAATTCTTTTCTCTCCTTATCCTCTCTTCCACCCGCCAGCCAAGGGCCCGTGAACTTAGAAGTGACCCGACGCGAGATGACCTGGTTCTAAGATTTCGCGTTTGACCATGAGTAAACTCCAGACACCATCAGGGTCTCATGCTGCGATTCACGTGATCGGGACGCACGGAGCATGCGTTGAACTTTTTTGCCATCACACAAACACTGCGTGATTTGCGCCCTATTCTCCCGCGTACCCGGTCAAGGACGAAGGGAACCCACGTGACTGTCTGTGGGGACAGCGAAAACCAAAGAAGGATTTTTCAGTTTCCCTCTGACCAGCGGCAGTTGAACATCGCTGGGCAAAAATCGTCAGACCGCCCACTGAGATGAGGAAGACCACGAAGTCTATCGACCAGTGATTGAACACTTGCGAAAAGAAGAAGAATCCAGGAACATTGTCGGCCGCCAAGATACTGATTTATCATCAGAACTCTCGCCCGGCGAATCAAAACTTTGTGAAGATACCAGCCCGACTGCAAGATAAGTTGGTTCTTTTGGCTCGATCTATTTTCATATATGTATGTATTCGCTCGCGCCTTCTATTCTTTTTACTGATGTCCTCCCCTTTGTTAAATGAATGTTCTTTTTTTTTCTTTCTTTGTTTCGCTATATATATATTTATAAATAAATGTTTAATTTTGAAAGCCATCGTCTTGTGTCTGTTCTTCGTTGATTCCCTTGTGTCGCCTCCATTTCTGAGTGAAGACCGAGAAAAAGAAACCACGTTTTCCTTTTTTTTTAGAACCGTGGTTCATCTATATGCTACAAGTTCAGAACATATAAAATGGGGGCTCGTTCCGAGAATCTTTTCTCCCTGTTTTTTTCACTCAGTAAGAATCGCACAACTTCAGGGTATCGGGCGAACTACAGGCCAAGATGTCGGTTATAGATAGTTTTCTCGATCGCCCTCTATGGAAAAATTATGTAAGCTTAAGAAGGATGATATAGTTGAAATAGGGAAGGAATTAGAACTAGAGGTAACGAAGTCTATGAGAAAAACTCAGCTAGTCAGGATAGTCTGTGAGCATATGGTAGATAACGACGTTTTCGGACGTGAGAAGAATTAAGTAAATTATCACTAGACACGCCGAACTTTCAGAGGCACAACTCGAGCTCGAGAAAGTGAAAATTGAGGCCGAGGCTAAGGTCAGAGCCGAAGCTGAAAGAGCAAAGGCTGAAATAGCAAAAGCTAGAATCGAGCAAGAAACTAGATTTCGGAGTTAGACGAAAAGCGGGAACTTCACGGTTAGAAGTAGTGAGTTCGACTTAGCTGGGCAAGTCCGACTCAAACATTTGTTTAACGAGGCTGACGTCGACAAATATTTTCAGCATTTCAAAAGGTCGCCTCAAACCTAGCATGGCCCATAGAAACGTGGCCAATTTTACTGCAGACCGCACTAAAAAGGCAAAGCTCAAGAAGCGATGCCGCCGCCTCAGTAGCAGATTGCGCTGAATATAGCATTGTGAAATCGGCCATTTTAAAGTCGTATGAGCTTGTGCGGAGGCATACCGCAAAAAAATTTAGAGCCTGCCGAAAGGGAGACAAACAGACTTATGTAGAATTCTCTAGACAAAAAAAAACCTATTTCGATAGATGGAGTTTATCGAAAAACATCGAGTCAGATCACGATAGGCTAAGGCAAATGATACTGATAGAGGAGTTCAAAGAATGTGTCCCTGATAATTTGAAAACCTACCTCGATGAAAAAAGGGTAGATACTTTATATGAGATGGCCACCCTCGCTGACGAATACGCGTTAACACATAAGCGGGTACGTTCAATCATAACAACCCATCCGAATTTGGAAGCGGTCCACACCCAAGACGTGGATCTGGTTCTGGTCCGAATTCAAGTTTGGTCGATCGGTTAGTTCAGGCCAACTCCCCAGTCCGAGAGATACCAAATCTCAAAATCCTAGTTCTCCGTCACGGTTTATCGGCAGACGAATAGGAGAGAGAGAAACTCCCGATGTGCCACTACTGCAATAAAGTAGGACACCTCGTGTCGAATTGTTGGACGAAGCGGAATGCCGAGTCCAGAGCCCTAAGTCAAGAAAGACCCCAAGGGCTAATTTCTTCCGACAGCGTTACCCTAAATAGGAAACCGAATGAAGATGTGAGGGGAGGAGTATAGGCCATTTGTGTCTAATGGTGCTGTATCCCCGCTGATAACCCCACGAAGAAGAAATCCGTGAAGATCTTATGGGACACTGGGGCCACTCAGTCCCTGATTGTGGAGAGCTTCGTGCCGTGTGGATCGGATTCGCCACTGGCGAATTTGTTATCATACAGGGTGTTAACAGCAACTTTGTTAGCGTTCCCTTCATCGAATCCACCTCACGTCTGGGTTAGTTTCTGGCCCTGTCGAGGTCGGAGTAGTTCTAGTTTGCCTATGAAAGGCATATCCATGCTGTTAGGAAACGAATTGGCGGGTGGTAGGGTGATACCCCACCCTAAAGTAGTTCCGAACTGCTTTGCTTGGTAGACACCGAAGATATCGAGGAAGAGAATCTCGATATATTTCCCTCGTGTGCAGTGACCAGAGCACAGGCCAGAAAGAAGGCCGATGAAAAAGATAAACGAGATAATCGATAGGACAGAAGACGAAGTGATAGACCTATCGCAGACGTTTATAAATCCTGATGTGGGATTAAATTATCCTCCCGATAGTAACCCAACTGGAAATAGCGATGGTATTGTTGAGCCCGCTATGGACATTCCATTATCGAGGAGAGCACTTATAACAGAGCAGGGGAGGATTCTGAGCTCACCCCACTCTTCCGTCACGTATTGCCCGAGGATGAGTTGGAGAAAGTTCCAACTGGATACTTTATTAAGAATGAGATACTAATGAGGAAGTGGAGACCCCGCACATCTCCGCCTCAGAAGACTGGTCGACAGTCCACCAAATAGTACTCCCTAAACGGTACAGACCGGAGGTCATGAGGACAGCTCATGAGATCCCATTGGGGGTCACCTTGGCGTTAATAAGACGCACGATAAGATCGTCAGATACTTTTACTGGCCGGGTATCCGGCGACGTGTCTGAGCATTGCCGGACTTGCCACATCTGCCAGGTTGTAGGGAAGCCGGAACCAGAAAAATCCCCATCGCACCCCTACATCCCATTCCTGCCTTCGAGGAGCCATTTTGTCGCATTATCGAGACTGTGTTGGTCCGTTACCCAAAACTAAGTTAGGGAACCAATACCTGCTAACGATCATGTGCGCCTCGACCAGGTTTCCCGGCGATACCCATGAGAAATCTATCCGCCAGGAAAATAGTAAAGGCCCTTGTTAGCTTTTTTTCACCATGGTCGGCTTACCCAGGGTGATACAGTCGAACCAGGGATCCAACTTCATGTCAGGGGTGTTTCAACAAGTTACGAGAAGTTTGGGTATAAAATCCATTAAGTCAAGCGCCTATCACCCCCAGTCCCAAGGTGCCTTGGAGAGGTTCCACCCACCTTGAAGAGCATGATGAGAACATATTGCCTGGACCACCAACACGATTGGGACGAAGGTATCCCATTCCTAATGTTCGCCGTCATGAAATCCGTTACAGGAATCGTTGGGGTTCAGCCCATTTGAATTAATATTTGGGCATTCAGTCCGCAGTCCTTTAAAAGGTACTGAGGGAAGGTTTGTTGCGGGAAGACCCAGTAACAGAAAATTTGCTGGAATATGTTTCACGTTTCCGAACCCGACTAGCAGAAGCATGTGAACTGGCCCGCGAGAACCTCCGGTCGGTTCAGCATAAAATGAAAGATCGATACGACCGAGACACAGTCGAACGAAATTTCAGTGTCGGGGATAAAGTACTAGTGTTATTACCCTTGCCCGGACATCCTCTCAAAGCTCGATTCCATGGCCCGTATGAAGTGGTCAGGAAGGCCGGTGACCTCAACTACGTCGTAAGAACCCCTGATCGCAGGAAGTCGACGCAGATGTGTCACATTAACATGCTTAAGCCTTACTATGAACGGGGAAAGACCGACCCTGTGTTAGTAATCAGTGGGCCTAACACTATGCCCGAGCCCACGGAGATCCGAGGAGAAGTTATGGAAAGGGGTGACCACCCCACCAAACTTTACAACTCTGAGGTACTAGCTGACCTAAGTGCGGTTGTCGATTTAGCCCTTGAGGAGAGGAAGGATTTAGCCTCCTTATCGAGGATTTCAGGGCCTGTTCCCTGACGTACCCAACCAAACCACCGTTACTTATCATGATGTGGAAGTAGGAGATGCCACCCCATTAAACAGCATCCCTACCGAGTCAACCCACGGAAAGCCGAAATCCCTACGTGGAGAAATAGCCTACATGCTAGAGAACGGCATTATCGAAAGCGTAGCCAAAGCAGTTGGTCCTCCCCCTGCGTGCTAGTGGACAAACCTGACGGCTCAGTTCGGTTTTGCACCGACTACCGAAAGGTGAACTTCGTCACTAAGACGGACTCGTGCCCCCATTCCCAGGATGGACGACTGTATTGATAAAGTAGGCAAGGCTACTTATATTACGGGCTCGATTTGTTGAAGGGTTATTGGTGTGTGCCCCTAACCGAAGCGCTAAGGAGATATCTGCTTTCGCGACTCCGGATGGCCTGTATCAATACCGGCGTGATGCCTTTTGGGATGAAAAATTCCCAGGCCACCTTCCAGCGAATGATGAACCATTGCCTGCGAGATCTGGCTGGTGTGAGACGTACATCGATGACATAGTCGTGTACAATAACACCTGGGCCAAACACATGATATCTCTACGAAAAGTCTTCGATCGGTTAAAGCATGCCAATCTCACCATTAACCTTGCGAAAAGTGATTTCTGCCAGGCAGAAGTGACGTATCTCGGACACGTTAGTCGGGCCATGGGCGGATAACTCGATCGAGGCAAAAATACAAAGTATAGTTAAGTACCCAGCCCCACCAATGTAAAAGGCCTGAGGAGATTTCTCGAATGGCGGTTACTATCGCAAGTTCTGTAAGAATTTCTCTGATATAGCCTCACCGCTTACCCAACTGTTGAGGAGGAAAGCCAAATTTGATTGACACCCGACTGTCAGAGAGATCCTTTGATCAAATAAAAGCCCTATTGTGCTCAAACCCTGTCCTCAAAGCTCCTGAATTTACCCGACCGTTCAGGTTAGCTGTAGATGCAAGTGACCATGGCATTGGCGCGAGTATTACTAGACCGATGCAAATGGTATCGAACACCCGGTCAGTTATTTCTCAAAAAAATTCAACAATCACCAGAAAAATTACTCTACAGTAGAAAAAAGAAACTCTTGCCCTTTTGTTAAGTTTACAACACTTCAAGTGTATGTGTCTTCGTCCAGTCAGCCTACTTTTAGTATATACTGACCATAACCCACTAACCTTCCTCAGGAAAATGAAGAATACGAACAGGCGACTACTGTGCTGGAGTTTAGCGTTACAAGAATACGATCTAACTATTCAGCACATAAGAGGCATCGACAACGTGTGTGCTGACGCCCTGTCCCGTATCTGATCGATAAGCCTTTGAGGATCAAACGGGGACGAAAACAATCTCTTTTCTTTTTTTTTCTAAAGTAAAATCTTAAATAAAGAGAAAATTAGTTAGATATAAAAGAAAGATAAATAAATAGATAAAAACAGAAATTTAATCCAATGCTTCCGATTCATGAAGCGAATATATTCTATGATCAGCCATACCCACCCTCTTCTCTTCACAAATTCTTTCTCCTTATCCTCTCTTCCACCCGCCAGCCAAGGGCCCGTGAACTTAGAAGTGACCCGACGCGAGGATGACCTGGTTCTAAGATTTCGCGTTTGACCATGAGTAAACTCCAGACACCATCAGGGTCTCATGCTGCGATTCACGTGATCGGGACGTCACGGAGCATGCGTTGAACTTTTGGCCATCACACAAACACTGCGTGATTTGGCCCTATTCTCCTGCGTACCCGGTCAAGGACGAAGGAAACCCACGTGACTGTCTGTGGGGACAGCGAAAACCAAAGAAGGATTTTTCAGTTTCCCTCTGACCAGCGGCAGTTGAACATCGCTGGGCAAAAATCGTCAGACCGCCCACTGAGATGAGGAAGACCACGAAGTCTATCGACCAGTGATTGAACACTTGCGAAAAGAAGAAGAATCCAGGAACATTGTCGGCCGGCCAAGATACTGATTTATCATCAGAACTCGCTTCGGCGAATCAAAACTTTGTGAAGATACCAGCCCGACTGCAAGATAAGTTGGTTCTTTTTGGCTCGATCTATTTTCATATATGTATGTATTCGCTCGCTACTTTCTATTTTTACTGATGTCCTCCCCTTTGTTAAATGAATGTTCTTTTTTTTCTTTCTTTGTTTCGCTATATATATATTTATAAATAAATGTTTAATTTTGAAAGCCATCGTCTTGTGTCTGTTCTTCGTTGATTCCCTTGTGTCGCTTCCATTTCTGAGTGAAGACCGAGAAAAAGAAACCACGTTTTCCTTTTTTTTTAGAACCCGTGGTTCATCTATATGCTACAAGTTCGTAACAATATAAAAAGCCTAAAGATGCCTAGTATAAAGAAAAAAAAATTTTTTTTTTTTTTTTTTAAAAACACATTTTGAGAATAATGTCATCAGGACTACATTTTACCACCAGGATTGGAATAGACCATGTGTTGACATAAAAATTAAGTTCATTTTATTGTTCATCTATGTTTTGTCACTTTATTGTTTATTGTTCTGCTTGATTCACTGTTTGAACTGTTTTATTGTGCCCTGCTGTACAGGACTTTGATCAATATGGCCGAGTCTCCCCGGCAAATACCTTCACCAAGGGCCTACAATAGTTAAAAAAAGATGCCATGTACTACACCCAACTACAGGAGGACAAGTACCAAAAGTATAAGAAAGAGAATGAGTTCTTCACCATTCCCAGTGTTAGACACAGTAACACAATGGACTATTTCCCTGCTGACCACAAACATCAAAACCTGAAAATTAATCAGAGTCAACAGGGAAACTATGGAGGAGGCACTCAAAATCATGGGGGCTTTTTCTCAAAGTATGGACAAGTTGGGGATATCTTGTCCATCACAAAAAAAGCAGGCATTATCACCGGTGACATTGCCCTCCAAGTGACAATGATCCCGAAGAGCTATATGGATATCCTGACACATTGACATATTACGGCTGGACAACATTTGTCATTGTGGAAGGCCACTGACCCCACTGTTGGTTTTGTGATGCCACAGGACACTGGTCAAAATTGTGCAATGAGGAGCAGAAGTGTTATAGGATCTTACTCATAATAATAATAATAATAATGGACTATTCCATACTTAATAAATACTGCGCCTCAGGAGTAGTTCGAGTCGAGTCAGAGGCAGTCCAAAACACAGTTGCATTCAGACAATTACTGAAAAACATTGGAATAGTGATACTGGTTGAGACTACATTGTTCTCTTTACTAAACCTGATTGTTCATACTAACACTTCTACTTCTCTGTATATATTCCTGTTTGTAATATTTCTGTGTTATTCCATACCTGTGTATGAGTTCTTCTTTATTGGTTCTACCTTGGACTATCACTGTGGTACAAGAAACCAGACCATAACAAGACATGGCAAAGAGTCAGATAGTGTTAAGGGTTACAAGGAATCAGAGATAATGGAAAGTCAAAATTGCCGAGCTTCTGAAAGAACACAGCACATAGAAGAAGAATATATTGATGGTACATGTGTATATATGTATGTGTTGTGAATCTGTTCCACAATGTAACAGTTCTGGAGAAGAGGTTGTCTGAGTGGAACTTCCTCCTCGCCAATGTGAAATGAAGGGAATGAGGATGAATCAACTCCATGTATGTGGCATGGCATGTCCTAATTATGAAGGTCTGAATTGGTGGAACCAAGGAATGAAGTTTTCCCTAACCTCTACCATGAAAATAGTAATTTGGTAAAATGTTTGAAGAACATTCTAATGTTTTTCATGTTTTCCTTGAGTTATATTTGTTTGCTGTTAAAAATTAAAAAAAAAATATATTCATGAAATATTGAATGTTCCAAGTATTAACTGTTTATTTGGGTCCATAATGATAACAAACAAAAATACCTGGTATGAATAACTTACCGAATAATACGGACGACTTGGTGAAATGCAGCGTCTACGTTGAGAGGAGGATCTTTGGCACTTGTTTCTATATAGTTGATCTAGAAAAAAAACAGAAGACAAAAGCTGATTCTAAAGTAAATCAAAAGTCATTGTCACTTTGAAGGTATGAACACAAAAATAAATTGAAGCCAAATGTAGACTCAGAATTTAGAGTGTTTATCTACACATTATAAAGTTAAAAGAATTTTTTAAACTAAAAAAGTCATGGATACAATTCAGAAGATAATAAAAGCCCCTCTCTCTCTTTTTTGCATATACAGCTAAACAGTCAGTCTGTGGATGACAATATTAGCTCTTGATAAAATAATTTAATCGGTCAAGCATTGTGGGGAGTAAAGAACAAATTTCTAAACAGTCACTATTACTGCTGATAATGCAAGACCCTCCTAGCGATGGAGTTCTCTGAGTGTTTATGAAAAAATTAATACACAAAAATTTGCCTTTCTCTCTGCTGGGTGTCGATTGCCTAGGGGTCAGAATCTCCGACTGATACCAAATCAGTCAGGTTTTGGTCCTGGCCTGAAGTGATCGGATGTCTAGTCACACTGATGAGCTGTGATACAGTGAAAAATCTGTGTGTGTGTGTGAAAGCATGAAACTAATAGTTGTGGTTGGTTACTGTGCACCTGAAATTTAATTTGTCATTTAGTAAAGTTCTGCCATTTCATATGATGTGGAGCACCTTCTTTTCAGTGTGCATTCACAGCAGACTCATTTTAAGAGCTGCTTATTTCTAACTATATACATATATAATTGGACATTGAATCAACATCCAAAGGTGACAGTTTCATGCTTAAATGCAATGCAATCTTCAAGTTTAAAACAGACTGTTGATGCTGGGTGTTGACATCAATGTTCACTTTTATATTTACATATGCTCTATCATCAATAAGCTAAGTGACAAACGTTTTACTTGTATTAATTCTCTCTCTCTCTCAATATATATATATATATATATATATATATATATATATATGTATATATATATATATAATTGGCCCTGTTCTGGCATCTCGTCTACAGCTGCTCTCTCACAGATGCGCCGTCACCTCTGTCTTTTTTACATATACTTTCATGGTAATTGCTCTGAGGAGCTGCATTCGCTGGTTCCCAGATTTCATGAATTCAAGCGCCCTACAAGGCTGGCATCCTGCTCTCATCCTTTCACTGTCAAAACTACTAAATGTAGCCGTCTCTTCTACTCCAATAGCTTCATGTCTCGCACCTCTCGCCTGTGGAACTCCCTTCCCTATTCCAGTTTCCCTGAGAGCTATAATCTCCAACTATTCAAATGTAATGTCAATCAACATCTCCAATTGCCTTGATCTATCCACTATCCTTCTCCTCATCCTTTCCTCTATCACTCCTATCTGATCTTGCTCCAAATCTTCTGTAACCCCTTGCATCCTAGTGGCTTCCCACCTTGGTTGGGGTGAAAAAAAAAAAAAAAAAGAAAAAAAAAAAAGAGTATATATAAATAAAAAGAAAGAACAGTAAGATATATAATCCAGTGTTCTTAAAGATATTTTTATTTTTACAAAATAGTGCTCAATGTAAATTTACAGAGCATTAATAAATTAATAAATTTGCTTGAAGATGAAATAGAACTAATGTCTTTAATTTAATTACAAAATTAAATTCAAAGCTTTCAGCTTCCATTTTTGAAACATGGTTAGAACTGTGTAGCAAAAAAAAAAAAAAAAATATTTTAAATCAATTAATTTATAATATATATATATATATATATATATATATATATATATATATATATATATATATATATATATATATATATATATTCAATAACCAGGTAGGCAATGACTGGCCACTATTTAAAGTTTCATGTGTTTGCACAGAATCTTCAGGTAGCCAGCAACTTGTAAGATGATTACCTTATATACCACCGGATGAGTGCAATTTGACAAGCAAACCAAACTCACACAGTGGGGAGAGTAGATCATCCAGCCAAGATCTAAAATGGCAAGAAAAAAAAAAAAAATTTAACCTGGAAAGGCTTGCCAAGTATAGCAAAAAGTGCTCAATAACAAGAGAAACTGGTTTCATGATATAGGAGGTGAAGCATAAAACCAAAAATGTGCTCAACAGAACCAGACAACCAAATTCATATATAATGCTATGGTTTGAATAAGCAGATCTAAATAGAGTCTGCCCCAAAGTGTGTGTGTGTGTATATATATATATATATATATATATATATATATATATATATATATATATACACATTATATTTCTTATACCATACATGTTATTTTTAGTGGGTACACATGTCTGAGTTGCTACCTCCATATTTCAATTGAACCTATATCCCTTTTTTTCTATCAAGGAAACCACATTTTTAGCCAAAGCATACCACTATCAGTTTGGCAATGGAGACCAGCCTGACAGAGAATTGAACCTGCTCCCCATTTGTAAGAGAAACCACCATTTGATCCAGTGTGCTTTACTGCTCAGCTAAAGCTCTATCTTCTCTTTTTAAGAAAAGCACATTTTCACATTCAGATTATTTTCCTCAGAAGCCCATATTTACTCAGTTATGTATCCAAAGCATAAGCAAAGCAATTTCTATAGAATGAATGGATTTATTTTTAATCTGACATTTTTATTACTTCAAAATTTATTATTGTAAATATTTGTATTTGAAATTGACTGTACATTTTTATTTTTTTGTCTTTATAAACAATACACACTATTTAAAACAAAAATAGAGCATCTATTTCAGATATGAGTATCCAATATAATAATGTTTGAATATATATATATATATATATATATATATATTATTAGTTATAGCAATATGTATATATATTATTAGTTATAGCAATAGATAAATCAAATGACCAGATATAAGAAAGCATATATGTGCGTGCTGGTATGTGTATGTGGACAAGGAGATAAATAGTCATCAAATTTATACATGTGTAAACATGCTTGTGGTTAGATAGAGCAAAGATATATATTAATTAGTACATATACGTGTACCTACATTTTGGTGTGTGACTTAAGTTTCACTGGATTACAGCTCATCAGATACAAAGTCTACAGCATGTGTGTGTGTGTGTATATATATATATATATATATATATATATATATATATATACACACACAAATATGATATATCCTTGCGTATCATGCAACTTTTGAAGACCTAATTTTGAAGTTATCACGAGATATAAAATTAGCATATGTGGTGCTGGCCCTGGCTATGCCATTGACCAAACTATATATCCATTTACTGTAGTCAAAAAGTACAGCTGTTTTTAAAATAAATATGATTTTGATAAAACTGATGTTTTGCTAAGAAACCTAGCAAAAAATAAGGAAATTTACATTACCTCCTTGGATAAAGGATGTGGGATTATTATTATGAATAAGAACATATTCAATAATGAATTTACTATTCAATAAATCTAACACATGAGAAAGTAGATGAACACAAGATAATTACAGAAACACAGAAATTCAATAGAGAAATTAGAAAACTAGTTAGCAAGGAAAACAAATCATAGTATAAACTAATAGAATACCAACCTAAAATACCTGACCTTTATGGTTTACCTAAAACCTACAAAGCTGGTATTCTGATACACCCCATTATATCAGGTATTGGAATTGCTTCTTCAATCATCATTGTCAGTCCCTTGACTGCTTCAATCTTTAGAGGGACCTAAGGGCAGAAAAAACATTGTCTCTTCCAGGATGATCTGTTGGCAGTGGCTCGCAGAAGTTCTGGCATTGTCGTGTTTGTCCATTCTTTGATGTTGTCTGACTAGTTTCTCTGTTGCTGTCCTCGCTTGCATCCCCCTTCAACAGTGCTTTGTATGATGGTTTTGCAGAGGTTCTTATTTATTCCATCCTTTTGACATACTGTTTTCTTTGCAGGCATGAAGGTTATGGTTTTAGCTTGTACTTTTTTTAAATTCTTGAGCTTAGACCATTCCAGAGCATTTTACCAAAACAATATATTTCTAATATATTGATGATGCACTATTAATATATCCCCACAAAAGTACATTACCTGACCATGTAGATAAACTAAGCAAAAGTCAAACATGATAGAATTCACTTATGAAACAGAAACAAATAACACTTTACTTTTGTCAGATATTATGTTACACTGTACTGACAATAACCTAAAACTAAGTGTTTTATCGTCTTCTAATAAAAATGATCTCCTAAATTTCTATTCTCACCATAACAACAAAATAAAATTGAGAACAATTATTGGATTCTATTTAAGAGCACTTGGAATTTGTAGCCCCACCACCAATATTTGTGAAAAAGAGAAGCACATTGAAACTATTTTAAAGCCCCTCCAATACCTTAATTATTTCATATTCAATGCCAAACAGAAGGTTTGTAAAATATTTCAAAATAGAAAGTGAACCATTCGAAAAAAAAACAACAAATCAAAATATATTATTCTACCTACCAACACTATCACAACTACTATTGAAAATAATTCCTCTAAGCTTAACATAAAATCCATTACAATTACTATAAAAGACAATATATAACAAAATAATACGATAAAACTTGAAGAAATTTACTGCATCACCTGTAATAATTGCCATGAGGAATACATATGAAATTTCTCGTAGAAGAAATCTCAAGGAATATTTCACAAAACAAACACTTAATGAGTCTGAGCACAGTTTTGATTTAAAAAAATGCAACTTTAATTAAAAGAGGAAGCAATTTACTAAGACAAAGGTATATACAAAGTGCTTTAATTGTTAGATCATCCACAGTAAATTTGCATTCAGGTTCTTAAAAAATTTCACCTTTCTAGGTAGATCTTGTTATCACGTGGGATATTTCATAACAAAAGTGATAAAAACATAAACAAAAAGAAATTTAATGAAATTGGTGAGATTATATACCCAAGCACATAAAAAAAAAAAAAAATTATTTAATTAAATTAAAAAGATTTCAGCATCTCCTTTCCTTTGTGTGCGTGTGTAGTTACATCAATGAAAATATCACTTTAGTCTAATGAAGTTCTAAGTAAGAAATGCATTACAAAAACTTTTTTCCACTTTGTCATGAAATTTTCTAATAGTGCAATGCCGCTTGACATCACCAGTGCAAAAAGAGAAAATTCTAGTACACCAAAATATTAACAACATTACATGCAAATACCGCATTTCCTTATTTTCTTGAGTAAGCAACTTCCTCAAATAAGCACCCCCCCACCCTATCAAGAAATCATTTTTTAATGAGCCCCTCCTTAATTGGAAAATCTATGTTTTTAATTTCAAGTAAGAGACAAACTTGCAAATCAGCATCCCACAGTAGGTAGATTAGAGATCAAATAAAGGTTCACTTACGTTAAGGTGAGCGGCAAGTTCTCTCCCCTGGTCTTCACTGACTTTCCGCTGGTGGACCAAGTCTACCTTGTTAGCAACCAGCAACATAGGGTAGGAGTCCCTGAAAGTAAATTATGTTAAAGAAATACATTAAAGAGATAAATGTTTATCCTCATCAAATACAATAAGGTGCATAGTTCTTTGTCTAAACCATTTCCCCAAATCTGACCAAATGACTAAATATAAGAATTTTTGGCAAATCCATTCTCGATTGGCCCCCAAAATTTTCAGACATTTAAAAATTTTGTTAATAGATAGATATTAATCACTATTTATTTATTAGATAGAATGAAAAAAAACTTCTTTCCATAGTTATTTATAAAATGGTAGGTTTGGTTTATTTTATAACCATCCTTTTGACATACAGTTTTTTTTTGGGCACAAAGGTTAAACATTGCCATAATTTTATATTTTTCTTATATTCTTGTTAAAAGACAAACTTATCATAAACTGTTACAGCCATTAGGTTTGGTTTGGTTTATTTTGTTTTATGGCATATCAACCTCAATGGTTTATTTAATGCCAACAACATTTTTTATTGCTGGTAATATTTTGTTTTGTCAAAAATCTGTTTCTGGTAATATTTTTCCTTCAAAATTGTATTGCTGGTAATAATTAAAAAAAAAAAAAAAAGTATTGCTGGTAATAGTTAAATATTTGCCCATAGCTGGGACCCTAACAGGTGCTACCACCCTGGGTCAGGTGGACTTGGGAACATCAGCAATTAAGTGGTGGTTTCACACTCCTCAAAACCTCCTGATCAGAGGCCTTGGAGCTGAATGTAGTTTATCATCTTACCCAGGACGATACAGCCATTAAGTTTAAATAAAAGTTATTGTTGAATTGATTTGTTTTGGGTATTGTCTCTATTAAATACTTAATATCATCAAGATCCAATTAATAAAACAAGTACACTGAACCAGAGTGTTGCTCAAGAAAGCAACAAGGAGACAAAACAAATAATAAAATAAATAAAATTAATAATAATAATAAAGGGTGTGTGGGTAGTGTAATGACTATCAGTGTGGGACATGGAATCAGCAATCTGAGTTCAAATCCCAGCCTCATCTTGTGCTCACTTTTGCATAAATGCCCTTGAGGAGGCATGAATACATCTCTTCTACTTACCCCCAGCTATAGGTTAAATAGCAGGATAGACTGGGTTCTCTGACCTTGGGTGGCAACTCTAAATTACAAACTCTGGAGAAAGTAATGGGAATGGGAAACCATTCCACTATTCTCCCCAAGAATGCATGACAAGTCACAGATAATGAAGAAAATGAATCTGTGGATAACCATAACTGCCTACACCCTGAAGAGACATGACATTTTAAGAGAGAGAAAATAATGAAGAGTGTATTAACCCAGAGTGTTGTGAAAAAAAGCAACAAGATGGAATAAAACTAGGAATAAAATAATAATAGTAAAAATACTCTCATAAAAATCTCCATTTTGAAAGCTTAATAATAATAATAAATAATAGATTAGTAATTAAAAATTTAATAACTTTAATAATAAAAGCATAATGACAAAATTTAATGTCAACTTAGAATTTAGGTTTAGTAGAACTAAAAATGAGATATTGGGTTAGTCATATAAGAACGACATAACATAAAACTACGTGTCTGGGGTGAGATGGGAATGGCTGAAAGCAGTCATGACAGGAAATGACCTGTGGGTAACTGACCAGTTCATAAAAGCAAGTTCTCCTGTTGACCACTCTATTAATAATTATCACTGTGACTTATTCTACAAATGTGACAAACTGACCCTCCTCAAACTGTATGAAAGGAAAAGCAGAAAATTAGATGAGTCATACACTTTATACACACAGATGAAGGATATATAAGCACGTGTGTGTGTGTGTGTGTGTAATTGGAAAGTGGGTCAAGCTAACAACTTTAAAGCACTCCTTATCTATACACATACAAATAAAATATATTTTGGCAACAAGAAAAATTCAATATACTCAGAACTATTATTATCCAAAAGAAACAAATGGAATTAAATAAAATAGCTTTCATCACAGGAGATGGTATTTTAAAATGTGTATAAAATCTGCATTCTGTTGTGATGGCGATTTTTAAAAATGTATGTGCTGTTATAGTTATTTTAAATTTATCTGTTGTAGTTATGGATTTTTTTGGAAACAAGCATTTCACTATAAAGAAGCTGACCAGAAATTGGAAAAAAATGTAAAATGTCATTAAAATGTTTGTTATATGCACTTTAATATGCTGTTGCTATATTTGTAATAAATTTTGTTGAGTGTTGGTTGGTTGGATTTTGATGTAGAGAGCCTTGAGAATTTGGAGTTTTTGTATTATTCTAAATATTTAATATGCATATAAAATAATAAATACAACATGTTTGATATTGTTGTGGTGTCCTCCCTCTAAAGAGTCTATGTTGGACTCTTCCACCTACTATAAGATTAGTAGGAGAGAAGGCCTTGGGGAACAGTCAAATAGATTGAACGCTGGGTCAACCGACACACACTTTCTAGTCATGTAATACTCTTCTGTTGTACTTACTGTTTAATATATGATATATCTGCAACACTGGTTTTGTTATTTCTTAACCATTTACTTGGTCACAACAGATATGATCTTTTCTTGTGTAGCTGATCTCTGTGAAACTGTTTTACACATGATGTCACTTATATGAAACACATATTTGAATTGTAGCATTCAAAAAGTAAAAAATGCCAGGATGTAGCCAACAATATCTTGTTTAGCATACTGACAACACCCAGTTCTTGATAATGACTGAGATGGTATAAAGTATATGGACTTTAGACAGTTTATCCACAATTTTGATTTGGATATGCAACAACTTATTTGAAAATTAGGAAGATAAAATACAGAAATTAGGTAGACATATGAATTCAAATTAGCAAAACTTGTTTAAATAAATAAATACACCTACACACACACATACACACACACATACACACACACATACACACACAAATGAAAGTTTGGTTAAAGATGGTAGACAAGGAATGTTCTCATTCTTTTTAGTTAACATTTCTTGTTTATATTTTTTTTAATCATTTCACCCCAGATAAGGCAATAAAGCCACTAAGATAAAAGGGGTTACTGTGAGGTAACATTAAAAAACTTTAAAAAAAAACTTTAAGGAGCAAGAACAATTAAAATAACATGAATTAAGGTAACAGAAGTTAATGATTGACATTGCATTTACATTTTTGAAGATCAAAGTTGAGTTAGAAGCAAGAAACCAGAAGAGAGTTCCACATGCAAGAAGTGAGATAGAAGAAACTGTTAGCATAGAACCTGCAGTTACATCTAGCCATTGCAAATGTAAAATAATGAGACCTTCCTGCCAATCTAGCACCGCACTCAAAATCATAGTCTAGGTACCATAGAGGAAAGTTCATCAGAAACTATTTAGAGAAAAGACAGAGGGAAGCTACATTACAGTGGTGGGAAATTGACTGAAGGTGAGATGCCAGATCAGAACCTATAATATTACAAATTCTTTGTATTTTATCAAGAATCTCTAAATATATAGAATACAAATGAATGCAGGTTTTGATCAAAAGAATATAAATATTGTGCAGTTAATTATTTTCTAGTACTTTCAATCATACTTTTGGCTACTATCAAGATCAGGGAAATGTTATTTGTTCTTCATTTCCACATTTCTCTACAACAACCTCATTCACTAACGCTCTACCTTGGGTGGCTCTTTGGTTTTGTATTGGGGAACAATTGGATTTTTAAAATTTATCAGAAAGTTGCTTAACTGTGTTGTGCTAGACAATCTTTCTCTCTTAAATCTATCTTGCATATCTATAAGTATACTATTCATCTATGATTCGCATATTGCTGCCACATATGGCCTGGTGCTCCCTCCATGTATCTAGAGATCCTTGATAATATTCAAAGAAGAATCAGCAATATTATTTGTTCTAACCTGGCGTCTTGGCTTCAGTCACTTTCCCACCGCTGTAAAGTTGTTTCCCCTCTGCCTTTTCTATAAATATTTCCATGACAACTGTTCGGTTGAGCATCCCCTCCCTCGTTAGGTGGTTTTTTGTGTTTATATTATTAAAGCCCCGGACTGATTTCATCCAGTTAACTAATGTTTCTGCCACATTTAAGGATTGTGGGGGGTTTATTACTAGCATTATTTTATTTGGTTTCTTGTAAATAGTAGTTTTCATATTGTAAATACTCACTAGAGCTAGTTTTTAAATTGTTGTTTTATTCCCACGCACAGACAAAAATTGTGCATATGGGGTTTAGTTAGGACTTTCATAGAGACAATGAGGTATTATGGTGGATGTAGTAAGAAAGGTAAGTAAGAATGCATTGTTTTGCTGTAAGGAATATTTTTTTTAATGAATCTTGTATATATGGAAGACTGCTTCCGAGATACACATCATATATAAATGTTTTGTGATGTTTATCACATAGACAATGGAATTAACAGTCTAAGTTCAAATTCTGCTTGAGGCTGTTATGATCACCTTACAGGAATACCTTTAATTCATTTTTCCTCACCTCCAGCCATGGGTTAAATAGAAGAGTAGTTCCTTATTTCTGGAATGGCAGAAAATCTCAGAGAATTATAACTAAATTTAAACCTCCTGCCAACATATCAGGTGCTGTCATAGCAGAATAAGTACTGATCATATATTCTTTACATCTCTTTATAGCAATAAATAGTTGCTTAAATGCTGCAGCCTACAGTGATATTGCAGCCACTTCCAGCTGAATAATACACAGTGTCCCAAATCAAAAACAATTGCAGATTGGTTCATGGGACATCAGCAATGAATTTTCTGTGTTAAAGTAGCCTCAAGAGTAACTGAATATAGAGCACTTTTGGGATGTGGTGCAAAGGGAGATTTGAATCCTGGATGTGCAACCAACCAATCTAGTAGAATTGTGGGATGCCATAATAACCACAGGAACTAAAATTTCAAGAGTGCATCCAGGACATCATCGAATCCATGCCAAGAAGAATTGAGTAAAACTTGTGGGTGGGTGGGTCTAATACATAATAAAATAACTGATGAGTGTATATATGACTGCACACATACCATATTTACACACATGCCATAGTTACATATTTACAAACTATATTTACACACATACCATAGTTACATATTTACAAACTATATTTACACACATACCATAGTTACATATTTACAAACTATATTTACACATACCATAGTTACATATTTACAAACTATATTTACACACATACCATAGTTACATATTTACAAACTATATTTACACACATACCATAGTTACATATTTACAAACTATATTTACACACATACCATAGTTACATATTTACAAACTATATTTACACACATACCATAGTTACATATTTACAAACTATATTCACACACATACCATAGTTACATATTTACAAACTATATTTACACACATACCATAGTTACATATTTACAAACTATATTTACACACATACTATATTCGATATCATATAAGAAAACATTCTAATTTTATGAGGGAATATTAAAAAATAATTGTTAGTATGACTTGCTGGATTTTATGATATATCAACCACTGTTGGTTATTTTATCATATTTGAGTCTATTGGTAAACAATGGCCATGCTCAGACTTGAATCTATCGGTAAACATTGGTTGTGTTCATACTATACAAGATGAAGTTTGTCTGAATATTTTCCATGGGAATAGTGATAGTTAAGCCTGTGGCACTTCATCTGCAGGAAAGGAATTGTCAATTGGAAAAATCATCACTTACAAGGCTCTATAAATGCTTCTAAACTCTGTCAAAGCTGGAAAGAGAGGATTGGGCAGCTCCTGCTCACATATGGTACAATACTCTATTTTTGGTTTTAAGTGACTCCTGTAAAGACGGTGTATAGCCAAAGGAGTCAGGTACATTCTGGAGCAGTAAAAAGAGCTGACCACTTTTCCAGTATCTTTAGTGATGGGTCATATATATATGAATCCCTATTAAGGTCTGTGGGTGAAATTGAGTCACAATAGATGCTCAAAGCAAGGAACCTCTTTGATAGTACAACCATTTATTGAGACTGGTGAGAATTCATGGTCAGCTTGGTGATAACGAGAAATTACTAACTTGGTTTTTGGTCATAGGATGTCCCAACCCAAATATTATGTTAAAAATGTATAAAAATATGAAAGAAAATCTAGTCAAAGCTTTACAATGAAAATGCTTCATTTAAGACATTGAAATAATATTTATTATTGTAATATATCTCACTTGAGTACAGAAGATCATTAAAGTACACATGGTTGAATGAAGGCAAAGCACGTAATCAGGTTATATATATATATATATATATATATATATATATATATATAATAGATTGTGACTTTAACCATGAAAACAGATACAAAAGTAACTAGCTAACCAAAGTAAGTAACAAAATGAAAACAGCAAGGGTCAGAAAAATTACGAAACTGAGGCGACCTTCAACAAATATTGAATGTTATATCTAATTTAACAATAATTTTATATATATATTTCTGCAATTACTTACATAACAGGATTACTATTTGCATATTAAATAAAAATTTATCTATATAAAACAAACAAAATTAATAAAAAAATAAGTTAGGAGAGAGTGTATACAGATATGGACAAAGAAAGAGTGGGGGAGATATCGACAGGGGAAAGAAAGAGTGGGGGAGATATCGACAGAGAAGTAAACTGTTATCTTCATCTTTATTATAGTCACAATCCATTGGACCATAGGACAATGGCCTGAGATATAAATGTTGGTTAATTACTGTAGTTTATCTGATAATTATAAATTCAATAGACTCCATAGACACAGTTTTTTTTTGCTTATTAGCAATTGTACTCAAATGAGACAAAACCATAAGCAGACAGTGTGGCTTAATCAACTCAAAACAAATAGAAAAGTAAAGAATAAAAAAAATACAGAATTAAACAAAAGGAGTTTCTCAATGTTATTAAAAATTTTTTACTCATTTAGCCACACTGAAATGTTTTTTTTTCCTTTTAAAAATTAAGCATAAAAAATTTAAGCAGGGCATGTGAACTTGATGATATCCTTCTAATAGTCTTTAAGAAATGTGCTCCCAAGCTGGATCCTGTTCTCTTTAAACTACAAAAAGTGCCTTACTGCTTTATGTTTTCCCATTTGTTGGAAATCTTCTATCATACCGGTCTTTAAGAACTCAAGCGAACCATCTGATCCTTCTAACTATTGGTCTATCAGCCTTCTACCTCTTTCTAGAGGTAAAGTTCTAGAAGCTCTAATCAACTTTGAATTAGTTAAGCATCTCACCTTACAGGGTCTTCTTTCAGATAAACAATATGGCTTTTGCTTCTCTAGGTTAACTGCTAATGTCTTAACAGTTATTGCTGAAAGAGTCTATCAAGCTTTAGAGAAAAATGGTGAAGTTTGGGCTGTTGCTTTGAATATCTCAAAGGTATTTGACAGGGTTTGGTATATTGGTCTTCTTCACAAGTTTTAAAGTTATGGTATTTCTGGATTAAATTTCAACTGATTCAGTCTTTCTTATTGAATTGTGAAATGAAAGTTATCTTGAATAGTCACTCTTCTAGATCTTTTTGCATTAATGCAGGCTCTATACTTAGACCCATGTTTCTAATTTTTATTATGAACCTGATGGCATCGATTCTCAACTCGGTATCTATGCTGATGACACAACCATTTATTCCTGTCTTAATAGTAAGTCTGAGCAGTTCAAGAAGTTCAAATTCTGTTATTAAATGGGGCAAAGAATGGCTTGTTAATTTTAATGCTTCTAAAACAAAACTGCTCTCTCTTAATCATTTGAGAGAACCTTTTTTTATCTTCCATCAGCATGGCTGATGCTAACTTCCAGGAGAGTAATTCAGTGCACCTACTTGAACTAATGCTTTCTACTAACATAAAGTGGAAAGATTATGTCAATTCAATTGCCAGATCTGCTGCTAGGAAAGTTGGTTCCTGTGTCATGCTAAAAAAATCTTTCTCACCTGAACTTATCTTACATATTTATTATTATTTTGCCTTTTCTATACTTTCATGGTAATTGTTTTGATAAACTTTCCTCTTTGGTACCTAGACATTATGAATTTAAGTGCAGTACTAGATTAGCAGATAGGTCTCATCATTTTACAGTTGAAATGACTAGATGTAAGCATAAGTTCTAAACTAACAGTTTCTTCTCTTGCACTTCTCACTTCCTAATCAACTTTGATCTTCAAAAATTTAACTGCAATGTCAATCATTATCTACAGTCTTCTTAATTCTTGTTCATTTATTAATGTTCTCTCTCCTTAATAATGTTTGCTTTTTTTTTCGTATCATCCAACACTCAGTAACTCCTTTCATCTTAGTGCCTTTATTACCTTGCTTGGGGTGAAATGATTATTAAAAGAAAAAAAAGAAAAGTAGTGGTCTCTAAGTGATATTTCATTGCAGCTAAAAAAATAGAAAATCTTTCCCTTCTTTTACTGACAAAAATTTATGAGATAAAAAACTTAGCATTCCCTTATACACTGGACAAGGAAGTAGAACTTTTGATTCCCAGTACAATAGACATAAAAGTTTGACTACTACAAAATCAAGAAAAACCAATCTCCAAATCTCATTGCCAATTACACAGTTTGGTCCTCAAAAGAATTTGTGACTGATACATTCAACCAAGTTAAACAAAAAATACACAATACAAACAAATAATTATAATACTAAAAACATTTATGTGCTGTATCACATATCACAATTTAACACACACCAAACAAAACATGTTAGAAGGAACTGGAAACCCAACCCTAAATCAGAAACAGTGGATAAACTTCTACTCCTATTCAAAAGGACCCGGGAAGAGTTTTCACTTATAAAATTATAAACAAATTCCAATCACAAAAGACAAGTTGAACAATTTTCATAGGTGTGTGAATACAACAGATTCAGCAATGTACCTAGTTTTATAGCCAAGACATGTTTTTGGCACAAAACAAGGATAATTACGAATTTCATTTGAAAGTGTTGCAATCTTATTTACATTAAGTCCTACCAGCCATCTCTCTGTGAGCAGAAGAGTTGTTGGTGGGTTTAAAGGCAGTTAGCCTGTAAGTTTTATATTTTCTCTCATATAACATTTGTTCATTTTAGTTGCTGTGCACGTTTTCAGCCTTGATTTAGCTCTGATGATAAACCAGTTCAGATACCTTTTTTGTTAATCTTGTTGTATTTTGATATTACCATTTTTTTGTTACCCTCTTTTTTGCTATAAATTTTAAATTTTATTTCTTGTTTTAATATATCTTTTTTTTATTGCTTTAATGACCAAAAGTAAACTGACTGAATCATGAAAAAAATAAAGGGTTTCTGAGATGAAATTGCAAAAGAATATCTTAACTCTTACCTGTCTTTCACCCGTAAAATCTGGGTGTGGAAATTTTTGATACTCTCAAAACTGTGTCGGTCTGTGACAGAGTAAACTAGAAGGAACCCATCTCCTGTACGCATGTATTGTTCTCGCATAGCACTAAACTCTTCTTGGCCAGCCGTGTCCAATACTGAAATGGATAAACAGTAATAAATTAAGAAAATATGAGACAAAATAGGTAAAGAGATAAATATGATATAAAATGAGACAAAATAGGTAGAGATAAATCTATATATATATATATATATATAAAACAGAGGATGTCTGTGTGATACCTTTTCACTAGAGATCCATCTAACTGATTATGACACATACATTGGCACATACCTTGTACAAATTAAGAGATAGTTTCTTAGCATAAAAAAAAATCAATAATCTATAAAGCTGATCAAAAATTGATAAATTCAACTTTTTTCCTCAGATTTTATTCAAACTTGATATGTAGCTTACTTACATCATGATGAGCTCAACGATACCTCATTTTTATTTCTACTCCACTGCGTTTAGCAAAAAAAAAAAAATGATTTCAGCACAAATTTTAAACTAAAAACTCCCTCAATTTTCAAGCAATCAAATACAAACTTCATTCAATTGTAGCCAACAATAAGTTGATTGTTTAACAGTCATTTAACTTGGTAATTGAGTCCACCCATATCGTGAAAACCCTTTTAAATAGTGAAAAATGGTGATTTTTACTGATTTCTTTCTCATCATTCATTGATCTGTCAACTAATTTTCATCAAACTTAACAATTGCTTTATAAATGTATCCTCTTTTACATCCTTGGTAGCACACTGACAAATTGAATTTCGAAAACTTCAAAATAATTGTGGTCTGAAGTGGGTCTTCATGTTGCCTGTTTTACCCCTTCATGTCCTCAGTTAACTTTGATTGAATAAATACAGACTACTTCTGTCATATCAGTAACTGCATTAATTCAAAATGTTTTTTTAATAAAAGTACTTTAAAGTAATTGAAGAAGATAGACTCTGTTACATCTAAACATGATGCTGTTTTTGTTGCATTCTAATTGAATGCTTTTTCTGATCGACCAGCTGCATATGGCTGCTAGTATATAAAATATGAGACAAAATAGGTAAAGAGATAAATATGATAAAAAAGAAGTTAAAAATATATTTTATAACAGCTTAAAAATAATAATATATATATATATATATATATATATATATATATAATTTTTACATAGACTAGATGGCCCTACTTAAGTAGGCTAGTCCATACATAAAAAGCAGGGAAAATTCTTTTTTAGAAAATAATTTTTATTGATTAGTACTCTTTAGACCATATTTCATCCGTAACACTTGTAAGAATAAAAAAAAATTGACTACCTATTGCTTTAGAAGAGGGGGTCCTGTTCATAATAATGATAAAGTGTAAAATCGATCCCTGACTTTAAAGAGTTATGAGAAGCAAGCAGATTTGTTTACAAATGTCATATTTGGAACTGTGACTATGTTAGTGATACACGTGATTTTTTTTTTCTCTCTCCAAATATTAAGGTTATACAATTTCAAACAATCCCAATAACTGTCAGGACGCCATTTCTATAATCAGAATTTTTCAATTCTGACAAGTGTCACAGCCTAAGGAAGGTATAAAGAATGTTAATCTAATACCAATTATTTCAAAAAAATTTCTCCCTATTTTTTCAATGAACAAGTAATTAGAACCAAATACATTTTTTAAAAAATCAATAACATAGAAAGGAAAGTACAGTTACTCCCATAGAAAGTAATAAAGGGAAGTGAGAAGAACGGACTATCACTTGTAAGACTGACTGCATGGTTGTCATGAAAATGAATAGCCCAACATGCAAATTACAAATTGCAGATACCAAAAATAAGCAAGTACAAAAATTTTAAAATCTGGGAAATTTTTTTCACAGAGTATGGAAAATGCAACACCAAATTCCGGAGGCACACTGGGATAGTGAAAAATGCCTTTCAAAAGCAAAGCAAAATATTAAGAAACAGAAAAATTAAACAAAGTAAAGAGTACTGAATTCTTATGTAATATTAGTCCTCCTACATGGCAATAAATGTTGAACAATCTCACAGATGTAGAAAAGACTTGAAACAACAGAAATGTAGCTCTACAGAAGGATGCTGAGAATACTATGGACACATGTTAACAATGACATAGTTTTAAGGAAAATGAAGACCAAAAGGACACTTATACTTAGAATCAGAAAGAGAGAGTTGAAATTTCTAAGACACATAATAAAGAAAGAAGGCTTGGAGAATTTAACACCCACAGGACATATTGAAGGTAAAATTAAAAAAGACAGAAGAAAGCAGCAAGTAACCTACATAATAAAATTGTGGAAATGGTCGGCAGTACAGGGATTAGGAGGGATGACAAAAACGCAAACTTTCATAAAAACTACAAAAGATAGGATGTTGTAGAGAGCCATGATCGCTCATGTCCTGCAGGGACATGGCACAAAGAAGAATATGGATTCCTATGTAAAGTGACTTATCAGTATGGAGAGTCAAATTGGCAAGCAGAGTTTAAATTTCCACCTAGTTTGTTGCATCTACTTCTACACTAATACCCTTGGAAAAGGCATGAATCCATCTTGTCTCCCTCCAGTTATGGGGTTAATTTATTTTTTTTTGTACTATTGTTCACCCAATACAAGACCCAAGAGCCACGCCACTCAAGGTAGGGGGTTACTAAATGATGTTGTAAGGGCATATAAAGAGGGAGGAAGAGGTACATATTATGAGGATATGTAAGCTAGATATTGGTTGACCCTAGACTTGAAGAGGTTAAGATTGTGGTTGTTGTAGCATACTTATGGACAATAAGGGTATGCCCCCATTCCCATAAATACAGTATATGTTGGTCTGTGGCCTGCAGTTGGAGATTCATTGTGGAATTCACTTGACTTCAAGCAGTTGATTACTTCTTCTATGCACTGCTGATGAATCTTGTATGTGTTGTTCTTGTCCTAGGTCTTATCATTCATTACCAACCTTCAAGTGATTAGTCTATTCAGTAACCTTCACTAGGTTACAACAATGGTGATCAGGGAAGCATCCTCTCAAGAATCTGTTACACAATGCAACAGTTCTAAAGAAGTGGAGTGGAACTTCCTCTTTACCAATGGGATATTTATTGGACTTAGCTGTTATTTACAAATTTTTTGATACTATGCTCTATATAATTGATACCTGCATTTTTTTCTGAATTTTTCAAGCTTTTTTTGTAAGGGGAATGTTTTTAGAAACACATGCACAAACCTTGGGGGATAATCATTATTTATCTGAAATGAAGAATAACCGGATATATACTTTTATTAATTCATATAAATCCTTATTCTTGAATTAAAAATGTATATATCCATTTGTTGTTTATTTAAAATAAATTTTTTTGTAAAAACAAAAAAAAAATTAATTAAAAAAAGAGTCTATTTTTGTATGCAGAACAGCTAAATTCAGATAACTGTGCAGAAATTCAGGGATTTATCCTCTATCAATATTATGAATAAGACACCCACTCTAAAATCTAAAATGCTAAAAAAAACAAACAAAAAAAACAAAAAAAAAAAACAGTTTTTTTCAATTCTGACATTGTGCCTTGAAGATCTGATGAATGCTAATCTTTTTTTTTATCATAATCATTTCACCCCAAGCAAGGTAGGAATGTCACTAGTTTGCATGGGATTACAGGGAGTGAAACTAAAAGAGAAGACTGAGTATAGGAAAGATTGAGGAAAGGACAAAAAAAAAAAAAAAAAAAAAAAAAAAAAAAAAAAAAAAAAAAAGAACAGTTTAAGAAGACAGAAGATGGTAACTGATGTTGACACCCCCTATAAAACATTCTCAAATGAACATAATCTACTTCATTACAACAACATGCTACTTCATTATAGTAATTTACCCAAATGATGTCATTGCAAAAAAAAAAATAAAAAAAAAAAAAAATTACCACCTGGTATGGACTGCCCCAATCTGTCTACAATGATTAAAGCTCACGGCAAGCAATTAAACAGTATGCTTCTGTTTAATCAGGAAAGAGATTTTTCAACTGAAAAAGAGATACTCATTGTTTTGACATTTTTGTTTTTGTTGGGTGGTGGAGAGAGAGAGAGAGAGAGAGAGAGAACCATGTCTTTTGTTGATTTCTTGCTCTAACATTGTACAGAATTTAAGGGAAAGACCAGGTCCATCCTCAAGGAACATCAGAAATCTATAAGCCATACAGAGACTTTGAAATCAAGAACAGGTGCTCATTTGTGTTTTTTTTTCTTTTTAATACTAAAGCTCACCCAATACAAGGCTCAAGGTAAAAGGTTAAAGTCAACAGAATGGTAAGGCTGAATTTAAGTGTGTGAGATATGAATGAAAGAGAAAATGATAAAAAATGAAGATCATCATGATAAGAAAGATGACAACTGACCTTTGACTTGAAGAGGTCAAGATTGAAAAGCAACAAGACAGAAGTCTATCCTACAAAATGGCAGTTCTTGGGGGGAAAAGCCATGTGGAAGTTTCTTCTTGCATTTGAAACATGCAGACAGCAAGGATGATTTGATTCAATGAAAGTAAATCCTAGCTGTAAAGGTCTCAAAAGGTGGCACTAGAGAATGGAGCTCAACAGAACGTTTGCCATGGATTTTGACCGATTTGTTTTTTATGGCTTATCAACGCTTTGCAGGTTATTTAAAGCCAGAAAATACTTTTAGATTGTAAGAATTTTTTGGAATATTAATGATTTCCTGATACAAATCTTACTAATTAACCCATAACAGGGGAAGAAGAAGGGGATTCATACCTTTACCAAGGGTAATTGTGGATAAGTAAATATAACAAACCCAACTGGAATTGGAACTCAGCTCTCTAATTTCCACTTCTCAGCTGTTATCCATTACACCCACACATATACATGCTTACAGTAACTGGAACTTTTGGAAATAATGATTTACTGATAAAAGTCCTGCTAATTAAACCATCCATAGTTGGGGGTAGAAGAAACGGATTTATTCCTTTCTCAAGATTATTTGCACATAAGGGAATATAACAAACCCGAATGGAATTGGAACTCGGCTCTCCGATTTCCAATTCTGAGTCATTATCCATTACACCCCTGTATATCAAACCATTA